TTGGACTCTTCATCTCCTGGCACCACAAACTCGCTACTATTACAGAATTGCCAAACAAGTAACTTTGTGTTTTCATATATATATAATTATTTATTTATCAATTAGCTAATATGTTTTTCTTTAATTTTCAGATTCGTGAAGAAAAATATATTTTATTATATGGAGGAAACAACATTAAATGGATTCGAGAATTCCTTAGTAAGTCATGTGAAGTTGCCTCCAAAATCCAAATGAACTTTGAGTTGGCCTACATTGGGAAAAACAATATGATAAGAGGAATCATTAATAAAGAAAGAATGAGTCATTGCCCATTGTATGATTCTAATGCAGTATGGTGGTTTTGGGCCCGTCTTCGAAGTATGTTTTTGTCAAGAATTCAATATTTAGAGATGATTAATCACCTTGTCAAAGAATACAACAATGATGAAATTTTGCAAGGACTCAAAAAATTATTATCCTATGAAAGCAAGAATGCAACAACTGAAGGATGGGCCTTGTTAAGCAAAGGATCAGAAGTGGTTGTATGTGGACATGGAAGTAAAATGTTGCAAGCCATGAATGACTATGAGATTTGGAAGGAAAACATAACGGCTACCAAAAGTTTTGGCCAGGCATTCAAAGACCACCATGAGATGCTTTCCAAGGATAAGCATTCTTGTTGTACCCTTGAATATCCAATTATCTTGAGCAAAATTCCTGAAAATGAAAGATGTCCTGAATGCTCTCGCCGTATGCAGAAGTTTTTAACTTTCACTTGTTGTCATGATCATGATATTGTATGATGATAGCTATGAATCTCTTTATTGTGTATTTGATTTTTATAATTTTATTGAACTCAATGTTAATTTTCATTAACTTACATTTTTATTTTTATTTAACTTTTAGCCATTTTTTGATTTTATGCTACGTTATTATTTTAATTAAAATAATTAAACTTTTTTTACCCAAAAATATTTTTTTTTATTGATATTTGATTGTTAGTCAAACAGTTATTCAATATAATCGGCTTGACACTGGTCCCTAGCACAATTAATTAAGTAGTACGGAGTAATATATATTAAATTTAATGAAAATTATATTTGAATAATTTACAAATTAAAATTATTTATATTAATCTATATTTTAAAGATTCAAATAATTCTATATTCACAAATTATATATATCATAATAACAAAGTTATATTATACAATTTTTTTAATTCCCAACACGCATAGCCATGACTATTAAGATTTGATTGAGGTCTAAATCTTTCAAATGAATGCGGCTAAGCAGCCTTGATCACTAAGGGCATCCTCAATAGTTTGAGATTTTTTTTCTCAATTTTTTTACGAACCCACTATTTTACTATCTTATATTTTAATTAATTATTTATTGAGCTCCAATTTACATGATGCTACAATCAATGCCTCCAAATCACACAAAGGAATCAAATAAGCACGAGTTTGATATCAATTGTGCACATAAAAGTACTAAGAATTAGTGCTTATCACTGGTTTACTTCAATAGTGTCCTTTGTCGTCGGCTAGGATCACAAAGTAGAATTTATCTAGTATACACATTTGGGTAGTACCTACAAGTTTCCTTGGTTACTTAAAAATAAAAAATAAAAAATAAAAACGACAGACAAATGATTTGTCATTCCACTTATTACTTCATGATATCTTAAAACTATTTTATGTTTGACTTTAACTGTCCTACAAATTAAAATAGTTAGAATGTGGGACTATACAACTAAGGCATGTATGACAGTGGTTTTTATTTTATAAATGAATTATTATTTATGTAGTATGGGGATCTGCAGGGTACTGGTCAAAAAGTGATGGTAGAGGAGTTGAATGTACTAGAAGAGCTAGACGATACTTACAAGCAACTTCCACTTCATATCAGACAACTTTCATATCAGGTGTGATTATTTGGATTGGAGCTATATATGATGGATGATCAATTGCATATATGCAAAATGAATAGTAATACTTGGGATGACTAATAGGGTATATGGTTCTATTTTTGGTCATTATTTTCAGATAGCTTTCGGTGGAATTGCAAATCAACACTCCACCATTATTCATCATGTACTAAAAATTGTGTCTCCATATTGTTGGGAGGATAAGTTAGTCCTTATGCTAGGAGCTTTCTCCATAATCCACGGAGAATCCATCCTTATTTCTCGACTGTGCAAAGGCAAAGGCAAAGGATTAGCTGGGAAGTTGGCACATTTGAAACAAAGTAGCAGTCATAGTCCATAAGTTCAGCTTTGCCAATGGCTGCCTATTGGATAGCCACAACTCTTGTTAACTCTGCCTCTTATGCCTATGCCGCATGTGACACTCACTTCATGTAAGATTTAACTTAATGTTTTGATATATTCATTATTAGTTAATATCAATATAGTGGATCAGACTATTAGTAGGTATTCTTGGTTTTAATCGGTTAACTCGCGTCGTACTGCGCTATGAGAAACCTATACTAGTTTATCTCTCTCTCTATATATAGTCATTTATGGGCGTGGCTAAGGTCACAAGGTAAGGTTTATCTAGTACATACCCTCAGATAGTACTATACAATGCCTCATGACATTGTATGTAAAAAATTACATGGCAAATCTTCTACGAGACAGTCTCACGAATTCTCATATGTGATTCCGTGAGATGAGTCCAATTTTTCATAAGTATTACATTTTCTCTCATAAATAACAATCAATATAATTTATCTATGACTAATATTACAATTTTTCTTAGAAGTAACTGTTCAGTCCGAAAATATTAGTCTATACATTTTTATTTATTTCTAATTAGTACTACATTTTCACAGCATAAATATTACATTTGTATCTCGACTCATCTCATAAAAAATCACCCAAAATTACATTCTTCCAAAAGGCTGAACCCCAACCCTAATCACCCAAAATTACATAATTTACTAGTTTGTTGATTTTTTATTTTTATTTTTAATTTCTTTTTTGTTACAGGGTTCAAAATGAACATAGGGAAATAACCACCTTATTGGCTACTTTCTCTGCAGAACTAGGTTAGTTGATTTTATATATAAAGCCGTTGCCAAATATTTATGCATTTGATTTATTTATTGAAGATGATGCACACACATAGTAATACATTGTTTTTTCATATGAATATATGCAGCAAAGAAAAAGGAGGAGGAATCTTATGAAGCATTGCGAAATGCATTATATCACGGCTCTTCTAATAATTTAAAAGTTTTTAAATTAATGTTTAATGTCAAAGATTGATGCAGGACAAGGGAGAACAAAAAGAACACAAACACTATAACTCAAACTCAAAGACTTTCAATTATATTCAAACTTGAACTTCTCAATACAAAAGTCTGTTTAAATAGAGAATTAAGAAAAACTGAAGAGTTGTAAATAATAAAAGCATGCATTGGAACTATAAAATAAACATAATGAGAATTGGAAATACTAATAATATTTAAAGCTAATTCAAATTTCCCCTAAAAAGTAGCCATCAATCTCCTTGTCTCTTAGACTTCATGCATGTGACCATTTCTCTATTATTTCCTTAATTCCTGTTCCGCATCATTCTCCCTTGGTTGTGAAAGACTCGTCCCGAGTCGTCAAAATACAGTGGTACTTCACCGGGCTTCATGCATGTAACCACAATCATTTTTTTTTTTTACGAACCTTAAAATAACCATACCTCTTAGCACTCAATTTGTGAAATGTCTTCGTGAGCACATGATCCTTATGAATAAAGACCATAATCTTCTCACCATTTCTACAAGTTTTCTTACGCTGCCTTGTGTTAGCCCGGGCTTTATACCTTACTTCGGTAGCATCAAGTTTAGCCATAACTTCATCTTGAGCTTCAACAACACCCCTTGTTATATTTTCAGTCCTTATATTTCCATAATACTTTTGCAGCAGCTGGATAAAGTTAGGTTGTTTCTGATAAGCAGTCAGATCTATGATCACTAATTTCTTAGTGTCCTCATAAATTTCATACAATGCTTTGAAAATCCTCTTAGGTTGGAAGGAACTCTTTTCTTCCTTGGTGTACATTAAACTTTTCACGACACAACTCAAATGCCCATCATCTTCCTTAGCAATCTCAATTTCGTCTTTGCAATCACCTTCTCTCTCCTTGATATTATCATCCTCAGGATCAAAGGATCTTTATGCCCAACCTTCATCTGAATAGTAGTCAGGTTCTTTTCTCTTCAAACATTTCCCTTGTGTGAATGGTGGAGATTGAAATTGATGAAAGTGAGCAGCATTGTTTTCATGCGTATGTTGGTTGTTAACCTCAACAAGTTCTCTTGTAGGGGGGAGGGAGTGTTTATTTGGAATAACTTCAGTCAACAGATTTTCAGCTTGAAAATTCATATTAAAAGCTTTACCTTGTGTCCATAATGGAGATGCTGACATTATTAGTTGTTCTTGAACCTTGACGACAATCTGTGGCTTGGGAGTTTCTTGAAGTTGATTGTCGCTTGTTGGAATTTCACACACTGCTGGAAATCTCGCGTTTTCCGTCCAATGAATGTTGGACGGAAAACGCGATATATTGGTCGGAAATGAGGTTTCCGTCCAACATACCGATCAAATTGAACGTTCGGAAAAATGCTTGTCGGAAATTCCGTCCAACTCCATTTTTTGGTCGGAATTTCCGTCCAATATATAAAAATGGACAGAAATTTCGGACAATAACCCACCATTCTTAAAACGTGGAAATTTTCGTCCAACTACATATGTTGGTCGGAAATTCCGTCCAACTACGTGCGTTGGACGGAAAACTCACATATTATATTTTGTTATTTTCCTTCCAACTGTTAGGTAGGAAAATTATAAATCATATGGAATGTTTTTATTGTTTTTATATTACCATAATTTTATTTATACATATTGTTAATAAATTATGTCATCAACGTAACAAACTAATGAACACACTAAATTTCAAATTAAAAATATATTTAAACATAAAAAAAATTTACAACAAAAATAGTCATGTTCATAGTACTTCCAACAATAGACTATAAATACCATACAACAAAAATATATACTACTTAAGTATGCTCGATGCACCCAAATAAGCCTTTAAATCCGGCACTTCTTCTATGGATGTGATCAATGCAGCATCCACATCCTTCTACTTCAATGACTTTGATCAAGTGTAGATGATGGGTATACCTGCAAATGCAACTAATATAAGATGATGGCTTTGATCAAATAAACATTTTTCTCATGCATTTCTAAAGTGATTTCTAGCAAAAATGACCTTACTTTCTTGATGGTATAGATATGTAAGTTCTGCAAAATTTTCTACACTTCTCCACCACTGTTTCTAGTTAATCACATGTGTTTAGTGTATTAAGAGAATGACAAATATTAGAAATAATAAGGGATGTTCTTTTCATCAACCTCTCAAGATCTCCTCAAAAATGAAAGAGAATGACAAATATTAGAAATAATAAGGGATGTTCTTTTCATCAACCTCTCAAGATCTCCTCTCTCTGTAACCCCATAGAGAGGGCTGTTAGGCTCCAATGGTGAATCACATGAATCATTTTCTGCAGAGTCACTCTCACCAGCAGCAGATATGTGGGTCATATATATAGCCTTGGCAGATTGAGGGATCAATTGGCCAGGAAACCGCATTAGATCAACAAGTAGTTCCATCGAATTCAACACAACTAGTACTGACATATGCTTATATGAGTCTGTGCACTCATAAGCTCCTCCTGTAGGCAAACCCTGTTTTTGAAAAGTGAAAAATATAAGAGAAATGTAACAACAAGAGATGAACAAGAAGAAAACTTAAAAGGAAGATAGCAAGCCAAGTGCAATTTTCTCATCTCTGATTTATAAATGGGTAGGACGAAAGACAGAAAACTTACCACAACTAGCCTACTTTCAAGACCTACAGTATCTGCAAGAACCTTGAATAATATTGCTCGAGGACGGCATGAGCCATGCTTTATTTGTCCTAGCATCTGGATACCTCGGTTGTCGGAAACATGAGAAGTTTCCTCAAGTGCAACTTTTGCGGGGCTGAGTTCAGAATTGGGTCATTTATAAACATCAGAACCCTAAATAGAAAGTCAGAGGTAAATGATAGATTTTGAATGCCCAGAGAAACAAGGGGATTAAGTTGGACTCCAACGTTACAAGGATTTGATGACATTGGATTTGATGTTTGATGAACCAATAAATCTGAAAAGAATCTTTTTTTTTTTTTTTCTGAGAAGGAGAAATGGCCTTGCAAGGTCCACTATTACTTCCTCATCTTATCTTCCACAATAAGCCAACTAAATATAGCCATTCATCATGTCAAAAGATATAAAGCCTTTCATGAAGTAATATGTAGACATACTATGTGAGGAAAAATGGCCTTGCAACAATTCAATATTAATGAAACAATTACCATGACTCACATATACAGACACCTTCCTTGTCATGATATCACTATTGCAAGTCTCCCTTGGTTGCTGAGAAAGAAAAACAAACATGATGGACATACCAACAAAATGTGATAAGAACATGAGTGCTTCTGTCAAGTTATCTACATCAAGAAAAATAGTAAATCCAAAATATTCATAATTCAACTATTATAACAACTGATTCTTACATTTTGTTTCTGAGAATTCATAATAGTAACCCAATAGCTGCTCTGTGTAGTTATAAACTGCTGCAATAATAAACACCTATATATCTAACCCAACAGACAAGTTTGATAGTGATATACTATAATTAGATAGGACCTTTTTGAATATGAATTACATAGGAATTGAAAATCAATAAAACATATTTGACAATATAGACTGCATTATAAGAACACATATGGACTGCATTATAAGAAGGTTATTACAATCAAAATAATGAAAAGAAACAAAATATTAATTTTTAAAGGAAAAATGAGAGAGTAACAAATACATCGTGTTTCCCTCATTTTTCTCCCATGAATTCTTCTCCTGAATCCTAACTCCACACTTCCTTCTCTTTTTCCCTTCACTGTCAAAACAAACAACCCAATACTCAAAATCCAAGAATGACCCATTATAAGAACTTGAACTAACAACTTCAAGATCTATATAAATCTACTATGTCTAAAACAACATTCAAAAAAATATAATTTGGGATGCAACCACACGGATTTAATTAGGGCTTAATCAAATTCAACAATAAAATCAGAAATTTATTATAATAAAATAAGGAAAGTTCAACAATAAAATTACATTAAAAGGAGATATACAGATTTAGGGCTTAATCAAAATATGATTTAGGGATAAATGAAATTAGGAATTTAGGGATTAGGGTTTAAGATTTGAGTAATGAACTAACTTGTAGTTCAATAGAGACGGAGACGCCGGAAGCGACTTTGACAGGAAGAGGCGACTGTCTCCATGGCGACGGGAAGGAGATTTGCAGCAAGAACGACTGTCGCGATGGCGCCGAGAATATTTGACTGGAGTGGAGCAGAGTGATTCGCAGAGTAGTGAGAAGAGTGAGAAGCTGGAGCGGGAAGTCTGAAAAATAGACGGTCTATAGCAAAACTTCGTCTACAAGAGAGAGGCTGATTGCCAAACTTCCCTTTTCCCACCCAAAGTTCTATATTTCCCGCTTCTCTATTTAGTGTCCACTATTTCAATATCCCTTTATATTTTAGCTAAAATATTTTAATTAATGTTGGACGGAAATTAAAATGCCTACATTTTTAATTTCTACCCATCAGTCAATTCGAGTTTACCAACCAACACTACAGGTTGATCGTAATTTTCGTCCAACGCGTGAGTGTTGGACGGAATTTCCGTCCAACACTCGTGCGTTGGACGGAAATTCTGACCAATTTTTCGTCCACCCATCATTAGTGATAGAAAGTTAAAATTTTTATTAAAATGCCGACCAACTTACGGTTGGACGGAAAGGTTGGACGGAAATAGCGAGATTTCCAGTAGTGACATGCTCTAATCCATAACATGTCCTCTGCATATTTATTAACATTACAATATTTTTGAAAGAAATGCATTTGGTAATCCTGAGGCAAAAACTGTTCTATCAAAAGTTTTCTCATTTTTCTCCATGTTTTCACTGAGCATTTACCTTGTCTTTTTCTGTAGTTCTGAATAGTCTCCCACCATGACAGAGCTCTTCCACGCAGCATACTGGCAATATATTTTGCTTGCTTATTTTCAGGAACTTCTAACATACTAAGGTAGCTATCAACTTCTAAACACCAATCCAAGAACGCTTCTGTGTCCAAATAGCCATTAAAAGTTGGTAGCCGATGGTATTGGAGATGTTGCCAACTTCTGGCCACATTCTTTGTTGGCAGATTCATGTCATTGATAACACATGGCGCTGCACCATTACCCTCTAGCCGAAGGCTTATGTTCGTGAGAATGCTACGAATTTCTTGAAACTCGCGATTCACATTCTCACCATGTACTTGAAAAGCTACCCGAAGGCAATCCATTCCACGGTCACCGCCGAAGGATGGGTTGTTACTCTTGTTGTTGATACCGCCTTGTGCCATCTTGGGTCGTGACAAGTGGAGAGGGCTATGCCGCTATCTCGGTTGTCGCCTAGGAACTTGAGGCTCTGAATACCAACTGATGCAGGACAAGGGAGAACAAAAAGAACACAAACACTATAACTCAAACTCAAAGACTTTCAATTATATTCAAACTTGAACTTCTCAATACAAAAGTCTGTTTAAATAGAGAATTAAGAAAAACTGAAGAGTTGTAAATAATAAAAGCATGCATTGGAACTATAAAATAAACATAATGAGAATTGGAAATACTAATAATATTTAAAGCTAATTCAAATTTCCCATAAAAAGTAGCCATCAATCTCCTTGTCTCTTAGACTTCATGCATGTGACCATTTCTCTATTATTTCCTTAATTCCTGTTCCGCATCATATATCACGGCTCTTCTAATAATTTAAAAGTTTTTAAATTCATGTTTAATGTCAAAGATGATGATGAGGAGATATTTCGTCGGACGGTAAGGTTTTGAATCTAAAACAGCCATATATTTTGAACAATATAATTCCATACTATTAAGACGGCAGTACTGCTGTTTTAAAAAGAAAAAAAAATTTATTGAACTAGATTTGTTTAATTAATTATATTATATTTGAATTACTGGACCTATTTCATCTAACTATTATATGTAATAATGTAAAATTTAAAACGTAGTACAATTATATATATGACCAACACATGGCATAATAATGATAACTCAGTTGAATAGAGAGGCTAAACTTTTGTTCACTGCGCACAAGGAGCCCCTCTCAGTTTGAGAGGTTGCCCCTACACTATCACTGATAAGACTCGATTCTAGGTCATTGTTCCCAAATTTCACCAATATGACCTAATTATTGCTATTATGGATTTATGGTACGGTGTGTATACACAATTGGGTTGACGTTTTGGTTAGGGGAAGATAACTGGTTTTTAGGAATTATTAGGCTTGCATTATATTCCATTCTTTTATACATGTTAATATTTCTGTTTTTATGTGTTAGGCATTAAGCGATTGGAAAAAGAGATTAGTGATGCTGCTAATAACATCAGGTGTTGGCATCCTTGAAGAATGGATTCATTTTTTAAATTGGTTTGACTTCAACTCAAGAGCATATATTATTTGGATCCCAATCACACAGGATGATGCATCATGGAGCACTGAGTATGAGCAACAATGTCATAAAGTAAGAAACAAGATGTGGTTCTATTGGTTGAATGATCCACAAAAAAGGATGAGGCCACAATTCACAAGATTTGTTAAGGAAGAGTTGTTTAAAATGAGATGGAGAGAGGAACCCATAATTGTTTCACTTGACCGTCGAGGAAGAATTGCTCACTCAAATGTCATCCACATGATGCTCACCTGAGCCCCTGATTATATTCAACAAGATACAATAGGGGTAAAGATTGTTCCACATAAGATAAGTCTTATCATACAAAACGAGTTGAAGCAAGGGATTTACGGCATTGAAACAAGCTCGGAATCCCGGCATGTGGGACCTAAAATTGATTCAATCACAAGGGATTTGGTACGTAACATCGATTCATAGATAAATGCTTGGAAAAAGGATGTTGAAGGCATAATTGAAGAAGTGGTACACTACTAGCTACCTTCTACTTTTTGATTCATTTATACCGTATTATCATTGTTCTTTTTCTTTCAAGATTGCCGCTAGCAATATAAGCATTTTATAACATTAATTAATTACCTTATTTTCATTTATCATCAGACAGCACAATCTACACCGTATGACAGCGAAAAGGAGAAACTTTTGTGGCAACAACAAACTGCTTGGACTCTTCATCTCCTAGCACCACAATCTGGCCGCCTCTATTATAGAATTGTCAAACCAATAAATGATTGGGTAACCCCACATTCAAGTAACTTTGTATTTTCATATATATATATATATATATATATATATATATATATATATATATATATAATTGTTTATAAATAATATGTTTTTCTTTTCAAATTCGGGAAGAAAAATATATTTTCTTATATGGAGGAAACAACATTAAATGGATTCGAGAATTCATTTTCAAGGTATGTGAAGTTGCCTCCAAAACCCAAATGAACTCTGAGTTAGCCTACATTGGGAAAAACAAAATGATAAGAGGAATCATTAATAAAGAAAGAATGAGTCATTGCGCATTGGATAATTATTCTTTTGGAGTATGGTGGTTTTGGGCTCGTCTTCGAAGTATGTTTTTGTCAAGAATTCAATATTTAGAAATGACTAATCACCTTGTCAAAAAATACAACAATGATGAAATTTTGCAAGGACTCAAAAAATTATTGTCCTATGAAAGCAATAATGCAACAACGGAAGGATGGGCATTGATAAGCAAATGATCAGATGTGTATGTGGACATGGAAGTAAAATGTTGCAAGCCATGAATGACTACGATATTTGGAAGGAAAACATAGATGCCACCAAAAGTTTTGGCCAAGCATTCAAAGACCACCATGAGATGCTTTCCAAGGATAAGCATTTTTGTTGTACCCTCGAATATCCAATTACCTTGAGCAAAATTCCTGAGAATGAAAGATGTCCTGAATGTTCTCGCCGTATGCAGAAGTTTTTAACTTTCACTTGTTGTCATGATCACGATGTTGATTATTGATTGAGATGTTGATTATGATAACGATGAATAGTAGTTCTTGGTGTATTTGATTTTATAATTTCATTGAACTTAATGTTAATTTTCATTAACTTAATTACATTTTTATTTTAATTTAACTTTTACTAAGAATTAGTGCTTATCACTGGTTTACTTCAATGGTGTCCTTTGTCGACTAGGATCACAAAGTAGAGTTTATCTAGTATACACATTTGGGTAGTACCTATAAGTTTCCTTGTTACTTAAAAAATAAAAAATAAAAAATAAAAACAACAGACAAATGTAAAGGAGCTGTGGAAAAAGATGTATGGAACAAGCTAAAGCTAATATCCACCCTCCCTTAGTGTTCAAGCTAAGGAATACTTTACTAGCACTGAGCATCTGAGCGTGCATTCTTGGAGGGTTGGAGTGCATTGGAGGATGTTGGTCCCGGTAGAATAGAACGAGAGTCTAGAGGGGGGGCGGGGGGGGGGGTGAATAGACTCTTCTCGATTTTCGGCAAATAGCAACCTCTCGGGGTTGTAACGCAGCGGATAAAATAAAACTGATTTTAGTTGCTTTGCACAGTTTGAGATTATAAGATAACTTTCGGTTTGGACGAATGTTAATGCAATGCTGAAACGTAAAGCACGAAAGTAAAAAGATAGAGAGACGAGAGTTTTTATAGTGGTTCGGCCAACTTTGCCTACTCCACTCTTCTTCCACAACTTATGGAAGGTTTGCACTATCACTCGTTAGTACAAATACACACGAAAGCTTCCTTGATCACTAAGCCGGACAGCTTCCTGTAGGTTTTTCAACTCCGCGAGTTTACTCCGCCTCTATCAACGTCTTCTTCAGAGTTGAGGTTGGTAGAAAGTATTTTCTGATTTCTCCAACACGGTGAAGTCTTGACTGAAGAGAGATGACTACTTCGTACAAGATGCAAGACTTCTTCAAGGTGGAAGATGAAGATTGATGAGTTTCTTTAAGAAATCTTCACGCCTTGAAAACTGGTTCGCAAAAGCTTGGTAAGAGAGTTAGCTTATACAAGAGCTTTTGCTTGAGAGTAATGATCGAGTGAAAAGAACCAGCCCCTTCTAAGTTGATGAAGGTGGGTATTTATAGGTGTGGAAAATTTCATCCGTTGGAGGGAGATGAAATTTCAAACCTATTATCCAGTGGGTAAGGACCGGGGAGCTTGGCGCAATAAATGCTCCATTAATGCGGTTTGTACCATGTAGCCGTTGTAGACATGAACAACCTTAGAGTTTTTGTCTTCTAGCTTCTGAAGTATAGTACAACTTCATTTAATGCTCCTTGGTATATGTGTCCCACACTTTAAGGTCCTTTTTGTCCCTATGATGGTTAATCAACTCAGACAGTAGAGACATTCTTCTCGTTATGGGAGAGAATGAGTGTCTAGATAACTCTTCATAAATGTTACTGTCTTGTCGAGATAGTTGATAACCTAAGGTGATCTTTCGTTGTTGGAGCCTTTGATCTCGTTCTCTTTGTCTCTTCTCGCTTTGATAGACCTAACTAAGAAACATAACTTGTTTTCGTGTGTTTGTCTAACTTAACACAAATTACAAGATGAGTTATGGCAACTTTCGTCTAGAACGAAAGCAGCGATGGAAATAGCGAAAGTTAAGGGTCTACATTCTAAGTTACATTGGTATCATCAAAATCCTAATACAAGAGTTCCTAACAGAGGATAAGGATAATTTAGTTTTTTTTATTCTTCTCCTCCATATCTACTCCAAATGCTATTATATATAGGTGATGATGTGGTGACTGATGATATATATATATATATATATATATATATATATATATATGTATGTATGTATATATGTATCAATCTTAATCATAACTTGTCACAAAACACTCTCATCAGCTCAAGTTGGGTGAAATATTAATTCATACTACAATATATGTTCTATCGCTCATGTGAATGGAAAAACCTTGATCCCACGGGCCATATCCCCACCCCCTTAAAAGAAAAATCTCAGAACATGTCGAGCACAAATATAATATTTGTAACGAATTTTGTTCAACTCTAGGCTTGCTCCAATCACCCAATACATCAATTCTTTATTTTGGGATAGCTTAAAAGCACTATTTAAATTACACAAAATTAGTGCATGTCAAAAATACTATCACTTAAACAATGTCATCGTTTATGTATCGAACAATAACGGGTCAGGTGTGCGTCTAGTGATACAGTACTGCAATTTTTCCTTGTCGTCCATGTATAATTAGTTTCAGAAAATGTCATTGGTTCAACCTCTGACAACCTTTTGCCCTCAAAATTCTTTGCCACATATGAGGTTGTGTGAGATTTAACATTTTCTAGTTCTACTACTACTTTTTTTATGGTTGACCTCTTTTTCCCGTTCAAGTTTAAGCATCTCCTACTAAGGTCGTCTGCAACTACCATGAGATCTTCCTTTTTGCCTTTTTAAACCGTGACCGTTTTGGTTAATTAGCAACCATTGTGGATTCTTATTTAAATATTTACAGTTATGCCAGCGTGATTTTTTTTAAAGAATACACCAACCTTCTTTTTAGAAGGGTTGCGAAAAGTCAATCTCCTTTAATTTGTTCATTTTGTTACTAGTGTACCTACAAAAGACAGTGAGTTTCTGACTTGGCACCACCGAAAAAGACCCCTGATTTTTACCTTTCCATCTCCATGTTAAAATTAATGTGTCTTTCTTTGTTCTTTTTTTTCCTCTTCATTATTTATCTTTCATGGAATCAATCGGTTATGTTAGCTTAGTTTGCCCGTCCAGTGACTACCCAATCACTAAAACCAACAACTTGCATTTTCCTAATAATATACTATGCCATTATTATTTTTAAGTATGGGATCAGAAAGAAATATGAAATTGCACCGTGAATCTTGAATGCAAGATGTAACGTATATTTTTAATTGTTGTTATGTTATGCACCAATTATGTTCATTAATTTAATTTGTTAAACAAATATAAATAACGAAGGCAGAAAGCATAAAATAAAGTAAAAACACAAAAGAATTGTTACGCAGTTCGGAGCGCTTCTCCTACGTCTGCGGGGCAACCCACGTCTGCCCAATCCACTATAGATGTTCACCAAGGAGTATTATAAGATAGAGGTAAGTACAAAAAGGCTACCAGCCGTTACTACCACAACACCTTCCTAACATCTATTCAGGATTGTACGTGCATGCCGTTACAAGCTTCAAGTGTTGATGTAGAACCAGGTTCAGACCCACTGTTCCAACAAGGTTCACACGATAAATCAATATAGAAACCAGTAGTGTAATTGGAAAATATCTTCTCAATATAAGAGCTTGGTAATTCGTAAGCTTCAATTAGGAAATTGCCTCCTTTTATACTGATTCTCTTTCAACAAACTTTTCCCAAACACATGAGAAATACCATAGCCATAATAAAATATTAATTCCTTAGCAATATGTTTAATTGCCACACCACATTTTTTCTTCCTCCAATACTTCCAACGCCACAAATAATACCATGCAACCAATTAATTAGCAACACTAATTAATCAAGACCATTTATTAAAATCTTCAAATCTGAATTACATTACGGACCAAGTGCTTGAAGACTTCCAGTTTATTTACCTTGCATAATATTCATACCTTGTTTTTGATAGGAGATGGTCCATGGTTCATATGATAAATTCAAATTAAATTCGGATTATTTTGACAATTAAATTAGCCAATAAGCAAGGGTTTTAATGTGTATCATTTGTACACTTACAAAATAGAAATATATAAAACTTAGGGTGTGTTTGGTTGGTGGGTTTTGCCCATAGGAATGGGTATGAAAGTGATTGTTGTCGTTTGGTTGATAGGTTTTTAGAACACTACTATGAGTTTCGAATACCCCATCAATTGAAAAACCCATACCCAAATAAAATAAGGGTTTCATTCCCTTATTAATTTTCAAGCACTACTATTAGTAACCATTCCCATTCCACCTTACTACCAAACATGTTAAGTACTTCCACCAAAACCCATTACCATTACCAAGTATTTGATACCCATTCCGATTCCGATTTCTATGTGCGAACCAAACACACCCTAATTTGGTGGGAATACAATATCTTTTCTGCAGATAAAGATGATATTAGAATCTGTAAAGTCTAAAAGAAGAAGAAGAATGGTCCGAACTGAAGTTGCGTGTCTCACTAGATGTACTGGACAGAAGCAACAAAGACAGACAGTGATTGGAGGTTTACTAGCAGTGAGCATCGATCTGGGCATGCATTCTTGGAGGATTGGAGTGCATTGAAGGATAAGAATAATTTTGCTTTTTTAGCTTTTTGATTATCTGATAGGCATTTCGATTCTTCTCCTCCATTTCTACTCCAAATGCTATTATATATAAGTGATGTTTTCGTGACTGATGATATGTGTATCAATCTTAGTTATAAATTGTCACAAACCACCCTCAAGTAGCTAATTCTCCATTCAATATGGCAGCCCAAACAAGTGTACTTGTATCCCAGAGAAGAATTTCACAACCGACAATGATGCTCACATCACTAAGCAGCCAACCTGTTGATGAGAGTATAATCAGGGAACAGGTTTTGTCTACTCACAACTATGATGGTAGAGAATTTAACACCAACGCCATTTTGAACATGGCAGAAAAGGCTCTCAGCCTTGAGATGGTTTGTCATTCTACTTATCACTTCATGATATCTTAAAACTATATTTTATGTTTGACTTTACCGGCCTAAGATCGATCTTCCTGGGACAAAACTTGCTTGATGATTTCCAATCACCTTTCTTACGACGAGCTGAAGTCTGGAGGCCATGGATTTTGTGATAATTTTATACAGGGCATTGCATAATCCAATCGGTCTGAATTGCTTAATTGATTCGGGATTGGACACCTTTGGGATGAGGGAGATTAGAGTATCGTTGCAGCCTAAAGGGAGTTTTCCATTGGTGATGAAATCTTGTACGAACTTGACGAACAAAAATAGTTATTAGATTGTGGTACTATACAACTAATCCATATATGCATGTCGTATAATAATATAATTGTTTGAAGAAGGCTTTGGTTTTTATTTTTTAAATGAAAATTTTATGTACTATGGGGATGGATCTGCAGGGTACTGCTCAAAAAGCCACGGTGGAAGAGTTGAATCAACTCCAAGAGCTCGATACTTACAAGGAACTTCCACTTCATATCAAACAACTTTCATTCGAGGTATGAAAGCTATGATGATGGATGATCAAAATGTATATATAGTAATGCTTTCGATGACTGATAGGATGATTAATTCTATTTTTAGATAGCTTCTGGTGCAATTGCAAAACATCAGCACTCCACTATTCATAACGTACTGAGCATTCTATCTCCTTATTGTTGGGAGGATAAGTTAGTCCTTATGGTAGGAGCTTTCTCAATTATCCATGGAGAATCCACCCTTATTTCACGACTGCGTAAAGGCAAAGGATTAGCTGGGAAGTTGGCACATCTGAAACAAAGTAGCCATCAGAGTCCAATTCCAACACCATTATTATCCTCAGCCATAGAACTGACCAAATGTGCGGTTGAGATGAAACAATGCCTATCTTACTCCCCTCCACAATCTGTCATTTCGGCTTTGCCAATGGCTGCCTATTGGATAGCCACAACTCTTGTTAACTCTGCCTCTTATGCCGCCTATGCCTTTGACTACCCTCACTTCAAGTAAGATTTAATTTAATGTTTCGATATATTCATTATTAGTTATTTATCAATATAATGGACTATTAGTAGGTTTTCTTAGTTTCATTCGGTTAGCTATGGTCCTTTATCGACGCGGTTAGGGTCACAAGGTAACCTTATGTATGTAAAAAATTACATGGCAAATTTTCTATGAGACAGTCCGTGAGACGAGTCTAATTTTTCATAAATATTACATTTTCTCTCATAAGTAACAATCAATCACTTTATTTTTCATTACACTACTGGAAATTATGAAATTTCCGACCACCTGAAAGTGATCTTAAATCAAGTTGAAAGCAAAAAGTGATCTGAAATAGCAGCAAAGGTTTTTTCGGATACCAAAAGTGGTTGGAAATAAGGCTTTCAACTTGATTTAAGATCACTTTTAGGTGGTCGAAAATTTCAGAATTTCCAGTAGTGTTAATATTACAATTTTTCTTATAAGTTCAATCCATAAATATTACTTTATACATTTTTATTTATTTCTAATTAGTATTATATTTTCAGTTTTTCACACTATAAGTATTACAATTTTTATCTCAACCCATCTCACAAAAAAAAAAACACCCAAAATTACATAATTTACTAGCTTGTTGAGATTATTATTATTATTATTATTATTATTATTATTATTATTATTATTGTTGTTGTTGTTGTTGTTGTTGTTGTTGTTGTTGTTGTTGGTCCCGATAGAATGAGATGAGAGTCTAGAGGGGGGGTGAATAGACTCTTTTCGTTAGAAGCCCTAAACGTCACCTTTCGGTGTCTTGGCGCAGCGGATAAGATAGATTTGTTTTAGATACTTTGCACGAGTTTGCGTAATTAGACAAACTTTCGGTAACGATAATAAAGGAATGATATGAGAGCAAAAAGGAAAAGCGTAAGTAAAGAGATAGAGAGGACACGAGATTTTATAGTGGTTCAGCCAATGTTGCCTACTCCACTCTTCTTCCACAACTGTTGGAAGGATTGCACTATCACTCTTAGTACAAATACACAAAGACTTCCTTGATCACTAAGCCGGACAGCCTTTTTAGGTTTTTCAACTCCTCGAGTTTACTCCGCCTCTATCAACTTCTTCTCCTGAGTTGAGGTTGGTAGAAAATGATTTATTGAATTCTCCAACGATGAGGTCTTGACTCTGAGATATGATTGCTTCAAACAAATGTCAAGACTTCCTTGAGGTGTAAGACAAATGATTCTTCAAGTAACTTAGCACCTCAAAACTGGTTCACAAAAGCTTTTAGTAAATTGTAGACTTTTCAAGAGCTTTTGTAAGTGAGTAAGTCGAGTGATAATCAACCAGCACCTTCTTAGTTGATGAAGGTGAGTTTATATAGGTGATGAAAATCCATCCGTTGGAGGGAGATGAAATTTTCGAACCTTTTAACCATTGGACAAGGACCGGGGAGCTTCATGCATTAAATGCTCCATTAATGAGGTTGTACCATGTAGCCGTTGAAGGTATGGAAATCATTGGGGTTTTGTCCTTTAGCTCCAAGAGACGGTACATCTTCATTTAATGCTTCTTGAAAATTGTGTCCCATAAGATGAAGTCCTTATTGTCCTAGGATGTTGTCAAATCAGACAGGTGAAACATTCTTCTCGTTGTTGAAGAGAAGTAATGCTTGATAAAGATCGTCTTTCACAAACACTGTCCTTTCGTGCTTGTTGACAACTCCTGCTTGACTCTCGTTGTTGTTCTTCATGTCTCGTGTCTTCTTTCGCCTTGGAGACCCTAACATCTAGTCATAACTCATTTTCGTGTGTTTGTCTAGCTTAACACGAATTACAGAGGAGTTATGGCAACTCTCGTCTAGGATGAAAGCAGCGATTAAAAAAGCTAATGGTTAGGGGTTTACTTTTCTACATTACATTGGTATCATCAAAATCCTAATACAATGTTCCTAACAATTTCCCCCTTTTTGATGATGCCAAAACCTATACTCTTCTTATAAGGCTGATAAAAGTTCCATAAGGATTTTTTCTATTATAAAAACAGCCATACTTGAGAGTTTACAAGTCTTTTTCTAGATTAAAGCGTTAATAAGCGAGACAAGGACAGGTGACTCAAACAAGTGACACGAGATGTGTGACAATGAGAGTTTCATATATAAAGATGTAATCGTTACAAAAACTTTATAAAGAGAAACATAACGAAAGTTAACTTACATTTCTAAAAGCTTTGATTTCTGTTGTTCAGCTTCCTTGAGTTCTTGGTCATTCTTTTCCTTTTGTTGCTTTAGCATCCTGTTGAAGTCAATTTTCTCATTGATTTTTGCTCTGAAAACTTTAATAGGATTAGTCCTGACAAGCTCTTCATGTTCTCCTTTGATGTTTTGACCAGTGTAATTGTTGTAGGCTTCCCGAATGTTGCTTCCTTCAACAATACCATACTTCCACCACGAGATCAGTTCAAACGAATTCATGCCTTCTTGGTAGCTCTTTCCTGATTCCTTGTGCACTTTGAAAGCTGCATTATGCATGACATTTTGTGGGGAGTCTTTGGTTACATTAGAAAGGTCTTCAATGAGATTCCTGATCCTTTCTCTTTCCATTGCTTCATCTTCTCTTCTCTTTCTTTCTTCATCGTGCTTCCTCCATAGTTCTTTGTTTGCTCTTTTGATTCTCTCATTTTGAGTGCTCATGTGATTTTGTCTTGAATAATTGTCTTTTGTTTTCAACCAAATGGGATTATTGCAACCCTCGAATCGTTTGCCACTGCCTTCTTCATATGGGACGAAGTCCACAAAGTTTCCTATGCCATCCATAGTTACTTTGTTGTCTCTCATAAGTTTCTGCCTTAATTTCGTCTGTTCTCTCTTTGGCAGTCCTGTGAAGATGTATTTGGCTTCAGAACCAAATGATTGTCGAGGCTTAATTTGTTTGGAGGATTGGTATCGACCATGATATCTTGGCTTCGAGGAGTGGTAACCACGAGACTTGGAAGGTGGACGGATGGATTCGTGTTCCTTTGGTCATAGTCTCTTGGTGTCCGAGAGGGAGAGTGTCGTGCTTCACGAGCTTGATCTTTCGTGCTATCTCTCGGCTGATCATCATCCTTATCTTTGTCATCATTTCTCTTTTCCCCCTTTTTGGCATCATCAGCACAGGTGGTAGGAGGAATGGAGGAGACCTTGTTGATTGCAAGCAAGATATCCTGAGCATACCCGAGAATTTGAAGTGCATATTCGCCCAGTTGGTACGAATTTTCCTGATATGTGTCAATCTTTGTACAAGCCAAATCCACACGCTCTTTGAGACCAAAATGAGAGTGTTTGATTTCGTGCTGTTGTCGCGCAACTTTGTTCAAAGAAGCTTCGAGATCATAAAGTTTCTTTGTCATTCGCTCAAGGAGCTTGTGATTTGATTGGCTTTGTTGCTGCGGTTGAGGCTGTGCTGGAGGTGGAGATCGAGGTTTAGATTCTGCTGCTATCAGAAAATCGACCTTCTTGCATAGATCATCCATAACTTTCGTGTCCTTTTCTCGTAAAGCAAGATATTGCCTATGGATGGTCTCGGCTGAATGAACAGTTCCTCTCATGATGTCCATGATAGTCCGTGGGGACTCTGTAGGGGATTCTTCCTCAATGTTTGTTGGTGATGTGTCCATGTGATCATCTTGAGGTGGTGCTTCCCGTTTTCCACCACTAGCTGAGCTAAGAAGAATTGGTGAAGCTTCCAGTTTGCCCTCACGCATACTTTCCTTTCCTTGCTTGATTGGAGTCTCGTCTATGGGTTGGATATGCGGAACAATGGCACGAGACAGATCTTCGAGATGAGAAGTTGAAACTTCTTCCGAGTCATCACTGTCAGATGGTAGTCTTCTTAAGGGAGATCTTTGAGGGTAGGTGTCATAGTCAGGACCGATCAAGATTGTATGACTGTCTTCGGGGTCGGCTTCTTGAGCACCTTCATTGCCCAACTGATCATCATTATCATCATCGTCATCATCATCATCATTCTCATCATCAGCATCGTCAACATCATCATTATTATCATATTCATCTTCATCACTCTCGCCTTCTTCAATCTCTCGTCCAAGCTCATCTTTCGTGCCACTGACATTACAATTTGGATCATTTTGGTGTTCCTTCTCTAAAGTGGTCTTGATCTTTGAAAGCAACATGGCATATCGAAGTTGCTTCATTTCTTCTTCATAAACTGGATCCAAGGGTGGCTTGTTGAGCTCGATGCAGATTGGAGCTTTATCTCTCCCGAGAGTGCGATTTGTCATCTTGTAAGAGAGAACGCGATTGATTTCTTCAATTCGAAGAGCTTTTGAAACATCCTCAGTGCCAATCCATGCAAGTGCAAAGTCTTCTTCATCCTGCATTGCTTCAAAAGTTTCAAGAAAGGTCCGTAGGGGAGCAGTGCGCCACTTTTGCCATTGCAGAACTCGTTTGTAATCCCTTTCAATGGATTCTTTAAGCAATTGATCTCGTGTACGACGAGAAACCTTTACTTCAGGAGCTGGAGCTGAAGGTTTTGGTATATCCGGAGAAGCTACTTGCACAACGGCTGCCTCGTCTACCAACACAGGTTCTTGTGTCAGAATTACCTGCTCTGTATTGGTAGGTTCTTGTGGCAAACAAGGCAAAGATATCAGAGCATCAGTCGCCTCTTTCGTCTTTTCTGGTGACCCAGGTTCTTGTGGAAGACTTAAGCGACTGGCCTTCATGTCTACATTAACAGGTTCTTGTGTCAGCTCTCGAAGGAGTTGATCTGCCAAAGTAGGTTCTTGTGGATGGTGGTCTTGAGGAGAACCGAGATCAGACTTGGGTTCTTGATCATCAGGAATTTTCTCAGGAAGAACATCTTTCGGTTGAGCTTCCCCCTCAGAAAGTGCTTCATTCGTGATTATTTCCCCCCTGTGGGGATGCATCTTTCGTGTCTTCTTCTTTCGGTGTAGAAGATTCCTTCGGGAAAGATTTCGCCTTGACGGGAGACCGAAAGTGACTCTTTTTGATAATTCTGGAGAGAATCAAATT